AAATATTGAGACGGTTTGTACTCATAGAGCATATGACAAATAATTTTATATTTGAAGTGTGTTATATAAGCAAAAACCAGGTATTGTTTATAATTATGGTATATCTAACTTTTTTAAGTATGGAATAATAACTAAAAACAAATTCCCGAAATATAGTCACCATTGTTTTAGAACAAGTTTCAATATTGATTTAAATATGCACTTCTCAATGTTATGATCTCCCATCCGTAAAAGTTTTTATATCATAACTCACAATGAATACGTTAGAAAATTTTATTATTACGCTATATTTGACAATCGATTACCAGAGCTTTAAACTTATAATTCATTTAGGCTTTCATGTATCTACTATCACTCATTTTATAAATTAAATGCATTCATTCATATAAGAACCAAATTTAGGCCGTCCGAAAAATTTAATACGACCCTGTACGCAAGTTCACTCAAAAATCAATATACGTATTAACTATGGTAATAAGTTATTCTTACAAAGAGTGCACCCAACCCACGCCGAACGGCACACTACTGAAAAAGAATTAAGTGTCAAGGGTCAAAATGAAAAAACGAGGATATTTTATGCACGAGGAGAAAAGGTAAAAGTTAATACTATTTTGTAACATAATTCTTTAATGTAGTCATTAATAAGCTATTTCAGTTTTACTAAAAATAAAATCAAAACTTATAGTATTTAGGTGAACCTTATTTTTTTCATACTTTACAAGTATTTTGTTGAATTATCAAGATCAAGAAAGAGAATTAGTGTAAGATAATTGAAGAAATAGTGAATTAATTATTAGTGCCTATATTATAGCACCCTTAGAATAAATTATGCTCAAATAATTTGCTTAGTGATATTTAGCTAATTGGATTTTAAGCAGAATGATAGCCGAATAATTAAACATACCTCCAAAATAGAGGTACAAAATATAAGTGATAAACATAAAGCAGTGGTTTCCAACCTTTTCGTACTTACAAGCTACCCCTTCATAATTTTTTGAAAAAATAATGCTACACCCCCTAAATTTTTCAAACTAGTTAATTTTATAAATATCTAACTCTAATTATAAAAATATCTAAAGATATAATTCAATCATCAGGCTACTAATCAATATAAAATATAATATCAAAATATTAATGTGAATACTATTTTTTATATCATTTCAACGTTTTTGGTTTTTTCTTTGGAAATGGTATTATGAAAGCGAGGTACGAAATGGTTAGAAACCACTGTTGTTATCCTAAAAGTATATAATTAACTTCTCGGTATAAAAACTTTGATTTGACTATTTCAAAAAACATTTTATTTGTATCGACAAAATAAAGAACTGATTACATTTTTGCGAAGGCCGGTCCAAAGGTTTCGGAGATGCAACGAAAAAAGTAAAAATAATGCCATTCGGCGGTCAAATTATTGATAATAATATCTGATATTTTATAGAGATTTTAATAATAAGAATAAATTTTGTTTACATTTCTATGAGTGCCACACCAATGTTACCAGTTCGATATTTCATCTCTAAAACAGATATGCATCGCGATTGCCTTGAAAAAAAGTTCAAAGCTTTTTGAACAATTTGTATTTTCGGCACGGGAAGTTCTAGCAATAAGCCTTAAAACACGATGGCAACACTAGTATTTGGAAATGCAATCAAAAAAGATGTCATTGAAATCGAGTTAAAAAGCTCAAATTATTTATCAAATACACACAATCGTGATAAAATTTTCGAAATATAATTGGCGAAGTATGAATCAAATGAATTAATTAGTAATCATCATCACCAGCTGTTAAAATCAATGGTGTACAAAACTCTTTAGTTAGTCAATCAATAAAATATCAAAATGTTTTGTCAGAACAATAGTTCAAAGAGTCTATAAACACCTCGCTACTGTTTAAAGCCCATGCCACTTATGCGCAATTATGACCAGACTCGTAAACCACGTAACATAGTTCTAATGAAGAAGGAAAACGCTGCTTCTAATAATAACCAAGATACCAACTTACATTCATCATAAGATAATCCACAAAAAATCAATATGTCACAAATGTTTTGGCACTAAATTATATCAACTTCAGGTATCCATCACAGTATCACTTTTTAGTATGATAAAGATTTCACTTTTGCGCACAGAACACAGAACCAAACAGTCCTTTTGGAGCGTTGTGGACAAATATCCGTTTATCACCGTGAATTGTCTCCCAATGTCAAATGGTGAACACGACAGTGCAGCACTCGTTCGAGACTGGCTGCGATGGCCTACGCGTTCGATACTTCGATACGTTCCGTTCGTCCGCTGCTATTTACTCATCGAGTTCTTGCGCGTTGACGGTGCGGCTTCATCGGCTGCTTTACTGGCACTGACTCTGACTCTGGCTCTCGAATCGGCCTCTGCTGGCACAATCCCAGAATAATACCGTCGTCGGCCCGTCCGTGCCGTGCTTCGATACTCGAACTCGACTACAGAGGCTACAGGCCGTTTGCTGACTGTGCCAACCGGCCGAGCGGAGGCCTCGCGTTGCCGCACGCAAGAATGAGACCACGGCAACGCCAAGCGAGATATAACACACGGCGGCCGCTCTGCTTCGCCTCGTGCAGATAGGGTTGATAATGTAGTCGTAAGGCTGGTGAATGATTTACGTCCAACAGTTTCACCCTTAAAGCTCGACGATCTATTTACCATAGGTTATTCACACATAATCATATTTAAAACGTCAATCGCCACGATAATATGAGAAAATTCTTCACATTGTCCATGGTAACTTTATCAATAATTAATTAAGTTAACTACTGGTGTATGCCATCATGCCTTAAGGCAAATTGTTGGAACTACCTGTACCAAGAATTAATTTTTTTTAACTTTGAAAAAATTAGATTTTTGAGAAATTTTTAATTTTTTGCAAGTAAATTTGCTTTTTTGGAAAAATAAACTTTTAGCAAACAATGATGACAAACAAAATTGATACACATTATTAAAATCTCCATGAAATATCTGATAATTTGATGTGCATAAGTCTAATGATCATTTTTTACCTCAAAATGGCACTTTTTTTACTTTTTTACTAGATCTCCGAAACCACTAGACCTGCCTTTCCATTTAATCAGTTCTTTATCTTGTCAATACAATCAAAATGTTTTTTAAATTATCAAAATCGGATGCTCCGTTCTCTTAAAAACTGAGTTACCGTTTCTGGCACTTTTTTTTACTTTTTTACTAGATCTCCGAAACCACTAGACCTGCCTTCCCATTTAATCAGTTCTTTATCTTGTCAATACAAGTAAAATGTTTTTTGAATCATCAAAATCGGATGCTCCGTTCTCTTAAAAACTGAGTTACCGTTTCTGGCACTTTTTACCCCGCATCTTCAAAATGGCTAGACCTGTCTGTATGAAAAACTAATCAGCACGCAGCAACCCTTATCAATAGAAATCGAATGTTTTTTAAATAATTGAAATTGGTTGAACCATGTTCCCGAAATCGTCGACGAAAATTTGTATCCGCTCACACACGCACACATACATCCATTTTTTCTAAGGTATGCCAAAATATTCAGAAACCTTTGAAACCTTTAATAATTTTCATTTTCGATTTTTTTGCGATTACTATAACTACCCGGAAAAGTTAATCAAGTTAAAACTGTATCAAGAAAACTGAATGATCAAAGAAAAACTGGAGGAACACTATTTTTATTTCTTCTCTTCC